CACTCCACAAAGGGGGCAGTAAAGCAACAGCAAAGAACTACAGACCAATAGCACTAACATCCCATATAAAAATCTTTGAAAGGGTCCTAAGAAGCAAGATCACCACCCATCTAGAAACCCATCAGTTACACAACCCAGGGCAACATGGGTTTAGAACAGGTCGCTCCTGTCTGTCTCAACTACTGGATCACTACGACAAGGTCCTAAATGCACTAGAAGACAAAAAGAATGCAGATGTAATATATACAGACTTTGCAAAAGCCTTCGACAAGTGTGACCATGGCGTAATAGCGCACAAAATGCGCGCTAAAGGAATAACAGGAAAAGTCGGTCGATGGATCTATAATTTCCTCACTAACAGAACACAGAGAGTAGTCGTCAACAGAGTAAAGTCCGAGGCAGCTACGGTGAAAAGCTCTGTTCCACAAGGCACAGTACTAGCTCCCATCTTGTTCCTCATCCTCATATCCGACATAGACAACGATGTCAGCCACAGCACCGTGTCTTCCTTTGCAGATGACACCCGAATCTGCATGACAGTGTCTTCCATTGCAGACACTGCAAGGCTCCAGGCGGACATCAACCAAATCTTTCAGTGGGCTGCAGAAAACAATATGAAGTTCAACGATGAGAAATTTCAATTACTCAGATATGGTAAACATGAGGAAATTAAATCTTCATCAGAGTACAAAACAAATTCTGGCCACAAAATAGAGCGAAACACCAACGTCAAAGACCTGGGAGTGATTATGTCGGAGGATCTCACCTTCAAGGACCATAACATTGTATCAATCGCATCTGCTAGAAAAATGACAGGATGGATAATGAGAACCTTCAAAACTAGGGAGGCCAAGCCCATGATGACACTCTTCAGGTCACTTGTTCTATCTAGGCTGGAATATTGCTGCACTCTAACAGCACCTTTCAAGGCAGGTGAAATTGCCGACCTAGAAAATGTACAGAGAACTTTCACGGCGCGCATAACGGAGATAAAACACCTCAATTACTGGAGCGCTTGAGGTTTCTAAACCTGTATTCCCTGGAACGCAGGAGGGAGAGATACATGATTATATACACCTGGAAAATCCTAGAGGGACTAGTACCGAACTTGCACACGAAAATCACTCACTACGAAAGAAAAGATTTGGGCAGACGATGCACCATCCCCCCAATGAAAAGCAGGGGTGTCACTAGCACGTTAAGAGACCATACAATAAGTGTCAGGGGCCCGAGACTGTTCAACTGCCTCCCAGCACACATAAGGGGGATTACCAACAGACCCCTGGCAGTCTTCAAGCTGGCACTGGACAAGCACCTAAAGTCAGTTCCTGATCAGCCGGGCTGTGGCTCGTACGTTGGTTTGCGTGCAGCCAGCAGCAACAGCCTGGTTGATCAGGCGCTGATCCACCAGGAGGCCTGGTCACAGACCGGGCCGCGGGGGCGTTGACCCCCGAAACTCTCTCCAGGTAAACTCCAGGTAAACACTGTGCTTAGAGTATTACTGCTGTTTGGCGAGTGGGTCATCATATTGTTCAAGCAAGTTGTTTGACTGCCTCGATGGTTCAGAAGTTAGCTTATTTATGGACTTTAGTCACAGTCTAATTCTAATCTCTCTCCTTGGATCCTGAGATAGGAAGCATAGGCACTGTTATGCCACTAAAAACAATCTTCAATAAATCTATCAAAACAGGGCAACTGCCTGAGTTGTGGAAGACAGCAAATGTAGTCCCGATTTTTAAAAAAGGAGACAGGCTGCACTAAATTATAGACCAGTGTCACTGACATTTATTGTATATAAAGTTGAGAAGATTATAAGGAAAAAAGTGATGGAGCACATGGAACTGAATGGACTTGGACATGACAACTAATACTGCTTCAGGTAAGGGAAATCCTGCATCATGAACCTATTGGAATTTTTATGACAAAGTAACAGAGGTAAGACAGGAGAAAGGGGATCGGTAGACTGCATATTCTTGGACTGTGAGAAAGCTTTCGACACAGTACCACACATGAGGCTGGTTGAAAAACTAGAGGAGGCAGGAAATGGAGGGAAAGTACTGCAATGAATCAGGGAATACCTAACAGGAAGGAATCGTCGTTTGTCTGTTCGAGACTAGGTGTCAGAATAGGTGCAAGGGTCACCTCTTCAAGGGGAGGGGGGCTCCTTGCAGCAGTGAAAAGGCTCTTGGTCTGTGGGAATGAACCCTTCGGTAGTCTTCCTCCAATCGAACCTAATTACCCGCTCTTGATTTAGGGAATTGGATCTGTGCTCCAGTTCCCCGAATTAAGCCTGAATGCCTTCCACATCCCCCCCCAGGCGCTGTATAATCCTCCGGGTTTAGCGCTTCCCCCTTGATTTTAATAATAATAATACACTACTGGCCTGAATCTAAAGTCCCGCCCGTCGTATGGTTTGTTTGCAATTGTGTTATTACGATTTCGAGTCATGATGACAGTTTTGAGGAGACGTAAGCTAGAGTTAGTCACTGCCACGCTGGTGGGAGATGCATTTGTGGTCACAGTGGTGTTTATGCTAACCTTCTTATGGTGTATAAATATACCTAGTTGGATGAATCTTGTGTAGCCTGCTGGCCCAGTGACCAATGCGTCGGTGTGGAGCTTTAAGACAAACTTGCCGCGAGTTCAACCCCCACCCGTGATATGGGGTTTGTTTACAATAATGTTATTACGATTTCATGAGTAAAATACACTGTGTGTTTGGAGTGGTAGCGTGAGGGGGTGAATACTCGCCTATTTGTGGTTGCAGGGGTCGATACATAACTCCTGGCCCCGCCTCTTCACTGATCGCTTCTAGGTCCCCTCTCCCCCTGCTCCATGAGCTTTATCATACCTCGTCTAAAAACTATGTATGGTTCCTGCCTCCACTACATTTGCCAGACTATTCTACTTCCTGACAACTCTATGCCTAAAGAAATACTTCCTAACATCTCCTTGACTCATCTAAGTCTTCAGCTTCCATTTGTGACTCCTTGTTTCTGTGTCCCATCTCTGGAACATCCTGTCTCTGTCCACCTTGTCAATTTCTCGCAGTATTTTATGTCGTTATCATGTCTCTTCTAGCCCTCCTGTCCTCCAGTGTCGTCAGGCCTATTTCCCTTAACCTTTCTTCGTAGTACATTCCTCTTAGCGCTGGAACTAGCCTTGTTCCAAGTCTTTGCACTTTCTCTAATTTCTTGACGTGCTTGACCAGGTGTGTGATCCAAACTGGTGCTATATACTCCAATATGGGCCTGACGTACATGGTGTACAGAATCTTGAACGATTCCTTACTGAGGTATCGGAAAACTTTCTTAGGTTTGCCAGGCGCCCATATGCTGCAGCAGTTACCTAGTTGATGTGCACCTCAGGAGATGTGTTCAGTATTATACTCGCCCCAAGATCCTTTTCCTTAAGTAAGGTTTGCAGTCTTTGGCCACCTAGCCTATACTCTGTCTGCGATCTTCTTTGCCCTTCCCCGATCTGCATGACTTTGCACTTGGCGGGGTTAAATTCGAGGAGCCAGTTGCTGGACCAGGCTTGCAACGTGTCCAGGTCTCTTCCTAGTCCTGCCTGGTCCTCATATGATTTAATCCTCCTCATTAGCCTCACATCATCTGTGAACAGGGACACTTCTAAGTCTATCCCTTCCATCATGTCATTCACATATAACACAAATAGCACTGGTTCTAGGATTGATTCCTATGGAACCCCGATCATCACAGGCGCTCACTGTGACATCTCGTCACGTATAATGACTCGTTGTTGCTTCCCTGTAAGGTATTCTCTGATCCATTGCAGTGCCTTTCCTGTTATACGTGCCTGATCCTCTAGCTCTTGCACTAATCTCTTGTGAGGAACTGAGTCGAAGTCCAAGAAAATGCAATCAACCCAACCCTCTCTCTAGTGTCTTCCGTTGCCTTGTCATAAAACTCCAGTAGGTTTGTGACACAAGATTTTCCTTCCCAGAATCCGTGCTGGATGTCGTTTATAAGCTTGTTCCCTTCTAAATGCTCTACCACTCTCCTGATAATCTTCTCTATGACTTTGCATACTATACACGTCGTCCATACCTCAGATAGTTGCCCAGTTTCAATGGATGTGTTGAAAATTGTGGTCAGTGGCAATGCAGTATCTTTGTTCCTTCTCTAAGGACCCACTGAGAGATGTCCGATCCCATTGCCTTTGAGGTATCAAGGTCACTTAGCTTCTTCACCTCCTCCTCGGTTGTGTATTTCATCCAACACTTGTTGGTATATCCCTTGTTGGTGTCCCCCTCTGTTCTCACTTCCCAGAGCCCTTCCTGTCTCCACTGTAAATACTTCCTTAAATCTCATGTTGAGCTTCTCACATACCTCTTGGTCGTTTCTTGTGAGCCCCCCACCTTCTTTCCTCAGCCTGATTACCTGGTCCTTGACTGTTGTCTTCCTCCTGATGTGGCTAAACAACAGCTTCGGGTCTGACTTGACTATGGATGCTATGTCGCTTTTGTACTGTCGCATACTCATTTCTGGCTCTTCGACTTATCTCTATTTTCCTGGGTCCTTCGTCTTCTGTACTTTTTCCATTCTCTAGTGCATTTTGTTTTTGCCTCCCTTCACTTTTGGGTAAACCAAGAGCTCGTTCTGGTCTTCCCATTATTTCTGTTGCCCTTGGGAACAAACCTCTCCTCTGCCTTTTTGCATTTTGTTGTCAATTAGTCCATTTCGTTTACTGATTTTCCTGCCAGTTCTCTTTCCCAATGAACTTCTTGCAGGAAGTTCCTCATACCTGTGTAGTCCCTCTTATTTTAGTTTGGCTTCACCCAGCTACCCTCTCCACTTGTAACTGAACTATGTATTCAAAGGTCAGACCCATGTGATCACTGTGTGTATGTGTGTGTGTGTGTGTGTGAGTGTTTCTGAATTTTTTTGGGTAAGCGTATTGTAAACCTGGCTGGAGATAGCAGGTACTGTTCACTACCACCAATCATATGTCACTGATAACAAACGAGGAGCACTTTTTGTTGTTACTCTGTGAAGGTGTCGCTTACTTTTTATTTCTCCAGGCAGGAGAGACGTCTCCCTCTACTGATCTTCCATTTCTCTGCAGTTATACCCAAACTGTATTGTTCTTATATACACATGAGGAGTTGAATCCGTGCTGGATTAAGTGTCTGTGAAGATCCATCATCTCTGCTGAGAACCATAAAGGACATCAGTCATGATAGTATGACTAGTAACTGTCATGAAGATCCTACAGGATACTGCAGCCTGAAGTCCTGGAGTAATTCCAGCCAAGAACAGAGTGGTCAGTGAACCACTCACTTACCTGGACCAACATTAAGTTTACGTTGCGTTTAGTCGACTATTTTTATCAAGAAGATAAACCTCAGAAGATTCATCTATAAAACTAAACTTTGTTAATACAAAGAGAACCAGGAAACAGACTAGAAAGACGTAACTATTGTTTCTCGACAAGAAAAATGATCAGTCTTCCTTGTTCGTAAACTGTGTAAGTCAACGACGCTGCTGTTCATCTCATATAGATCTCCAAATAGCATTTTGAGACATAATTAATAGAGAAAGATTGACAGATATTTTATAAAGTTTTACGAAACATTGTCTACAATGTCACTTTAATACGGATGATCCAGCGAGTCTCTGCTACACAAACAACAACACTCAATATTGACAATTATTTATAAAAGCCTTTTTCAAAAACAAGACAGTAAAAAACGGGACTAAAAGCAGGATAGAAAATCAAAGAAAGTTTGAAAGCAACGAGTGAAGATTAACGAGCTAAACTGAGGCTCCAGCAAGTGAAGATTAACCAGCGAAACAGTCTTCAACTCTTTCCTTCATAGACGCTCTGAACCTGTCTCGCTCTTAGGTGTTTCTCTCAGGAGACAATATTTCTCAAACTAATTCATAAACCAGGTGACGACTCAAGGTGATCATGGAACCCAAGGTAAGTGCTTTATATATGAGATAACATAACTTGCATATCTGTCTAGAAGTTTTTGGGTTCTCCAATGCTCCAATATTAATAGTTTTGTTTCCACTGACCACAATAACTAGCGGCCATTAAGAAGGTGGAACACTTGTAGACATGAAGGAATTCTCCCTTTCATCTGAGTTTTTCACATTGCTGAGTATTGAACTTAGACAAACTGGTGCTCGTGGCTTGCTTGATAGCGTCCTCACCTCAAACACTGAGAGTCCGGGGATCGATTCCCGTTACGGGTGAAACATTGGGATGTTTCTTACACCTGTCTGCTGTTTACCAGCAGTCAGTGGTACCTGAGTGTTCAGTCACTGTTGTTGTCGCATTCTGAGGGAAGAAATTAACCAAGTTACAAAAAGTTAACATAACAGGAACTTCTAGATATTCAGTGTCAGCTACGGTCTTATGGTTTTTCACATTGACTGGTATGGACATGGACTAATTTTTGTCGTGCAAATAAAATTGTCTTACATCATAACCTTTACAAAGAAATCTTTATTCTTTTAATGATTGGTCATGTACTTGAAGATTTATTGACGAGCAGGAAGCTGTCTACCAGCGTTATGTCAGTCACCTCCGAAAGTGACACACAATGCTTCCCGCAGCTGCCGGGTAGCTGAGATACCACTTCACCCTGGTACTGAGACAGCTTCACCACTCCTGGGTAGCAGACTTTCACCAGCTCCTGGGTAGCTGAGCAGCTTACAGCTGCCTGGGTAGCTGAGACAGCTTCACCAGCTGCCTGGGTATGGGACAGCTTCAGCAGCTGCCTGGGTAGCTGAGCAGACTTCACCAGCTGCATGGGTACAGAATGTTTCACATTAACCTTACAAGAAATAGTCTGATTATTTTACCATGCTTGGGTAGCTGACTGAAGCTTACATAGCGCCTGGGTAGCTGAGAACATTATCTAGCTGTTTGGATAGTGACCTTCACCAGCGCCGTACTGAACCACACTTCACCAGCTGCCTGGGTAGCTGAGACACCTTCACCAGCTGCCTGGGTAGCTGAGACAGCTTCACCAGCTGCCTGGGTAGCTGAGACAGCTTCACCAGCTGCCTGGGTAGCTGAGACAGCTTCACCAGCTGCCCGGATAGCTGAGACAGCTTCACCAGCTGCCCGGATAGCTGAGACAGCTTCACCAGCTGCCTGGATAGCTGAGACAGCTTCACCAGCTGCCTGGTATAGCTGAGACAGCTTCACCAGTGCCGGATAGCTGAGACAGCTTCACCAGCTGCCGGATAGCTGAGACAGCTTCACCAGCTGCCTGGTAGCTGAGACACTTTCACCAGCTGCCTGGATAGATGAGACAGCTTCACCAGCTGCTTCGGTAGCTGAGACAGCTTCACCAGTTGCCTGGGTAGCTGAGACACCTTCACCAGTTGCCTGGGTAGCTGAGACAGCTTCACCAGCTGCCTGGGTAGCTGAGACAGCTTCACCAGCTGCCTGGGTAGCTGAGACAGCTTCACCAGCTGCCTGGGTAGCTGAGACACCTTCACCAGCTGCCTGGTAGCTGGACAGCTTCACCAGCTGCCTGGGTAGGTGAGACAGCTTCACCAGTTACATGGGTAGCTGAGACAGCTTCACCAGTTGCCTGGATAGCTGAGACACCTTCACCAGCTGCCTGGGTAGCTGAGACACCTTCACCAGCTGCCTGGGTAGCTGAGACACCTTCACCAGCTGCCTGGTAGCTGAGACACCTTCACCAGCTGCCTGGGTAGCTGAGACACCTTCACCAGCTGCCTGGGTAGCTGAGACACCTTCACCAGCTGCCTGGGTAGCTGAGACAGCTTCACCAGCTGCCTGGGTAGCTGAGACACCTTCACCAGCTGCCTGGGTAGCTGAGACACCTTCACCAGCTGCCTGGGTAGCTGAGACACCTTCACCAGCTGCCTGGGTAGCTGAGGACAGCTTCCCAGCTGCCTGGGTAGCTGAGACAGCTTCACCATTTCGGTAGTAGACAGCTTCACCAGTGCCTGGTAGCTGAGACGACTTCACGAGCTGCCTGTGTAGCTGAGCAGCTTTCACAGGCCTGGTAGTGCAGCTTTCACGAGCTGCCTGGGTTACTGAGACAGCTCACGTCTCCTGGGTAGCAGGACACTTCAGGAGCTGCTGGGTATCTGAGACATGCTCACAGCTGCTGGGTGCTTGAGTTGCAGCTGTTCCTGGAGCAGCTGTTCCTGGGTGCTGAGACAGTTCACGCTGCCATGGTTAGCTGAGAGCGCTTCACGCAGCTGGTGCCTGAAGCAGCGTTCCTAGCTGCCTGGGTACTGGAAGCACTGTTCACTTTACCTAGCAGTGTTCCTGGAGCAGTGTTCCTGAAGCAGTGTTCCTGGAGCAGTGTTCCTGGAGCAGTGTTCCTGGAGCAGTGTTCCTGGAGCAGTGTTCCTGGAGCAGTGTTCCTGGCAGCACCTGTGGTTCCTGGAGCCAGCTGTTCCTGGGAGCGTGTTCCTGGAGCAGTGTTCCTGGAGCAGCGTTCCTGGAGCAGCGGTTCCTGAGCAGCGTTCCTTGAGCAGCAGTTTTCTTGAGCAGCTGTTCTTGGGAGCTGAGCAGTTCTCCTGAAGCAGCGTTCTGGAGCAGCGTTCCTGGAGCTGAGCGTTTCCTGGAGCAGCGTTCCTGGAGCAGCGTTCCTGGAGCAGCGTTCCTGGAGCAGCGTTCCTGGAGCAGCGTTCCTGGAGCAGCGTTCCTGGAGCAGCGTTCCTTGAGCAGCGTTCCTGAGCAACGTTTCCTCGGAGCAACGTTCCTGAGCAGCGTTCCTGGAAGCTGAACGTTCCTTGAGCAGCGTTCCTGGAGCAGCGTTCCTGGAGCAGCGTTCCTTGAGCAGCATTCCTGAAGCAGCGTTCCTGAAGCAGCGTTCCTTGAGCAGCATTCCTGGAGCAGCGTTCCTGGAGAAACGTTCCTGGAGCTGAACACGTTCCTGAGCAACGTTCCTGGGTGCTGAGACGTTCCTCGAGCAGCGTTCCTGCACTTCGCAGCTTCCTGGAGCTGAATGCTTCCTCGAGCAGCGTTCCTGGAGCAACGTTCCTGGAGCATGTTCCTGGAGCACGTTCCTCGGTAGCAACGTCCTCGAAGCAGCGTTCCTGAGCAGTGTTCCTGGAGCAGCGTTCCTGAAGCACGTTCCTGAGCAACGTTCCTGGAGCAGCTGTTCCTGGAGACAGTTCCCGTTCCTGAGCAGCGTTCCTGGAGCAACGTTTCCGAGCAGCGTTCCTGGAGCAACGTTCCTGGAGCAACGTTCCTGAGCAACGCTTCCTGGAGCAACGTGTCCTGGAGCAACGTTCCTGGAGCAACGTTCCCGAGCAGCGTTCCTGAGCACGTTCCAGCGCGTTCTGGACAACTTCGAGCAGCGTTCCTGGAGCAACGTTCCTGGAGCAACGTTCCTGGAGTCCACCTTCACTAGCTTCCTGGAGCAACGTTCCTGGAGCAACTCACTCATCCTGGAGCAAACGTTTCCTGGAGCAAACTCTGACACTTCCTGGAGCAACGTTCCTGGAGCAACGTTCCTAGCTCCCTGAGCAGCTTCCTGAAGCAGCGTTCCTGGAGCAGCGTTCCTCTAGCATCTTTCCTGGAGCAGCATTCCTGGAGCAGCGTTCCTGAAGCAGCGTTCCTGGAGCAGCATTCCTCTAGCATCTTTCCTGGAGCAGCTTTCCTGGAGCAGCGTTCCTGAGCAGCATTCCTGGAGCAGCGTTCCTCTAGCATCTTTCCTGAAGCAGCGTTCCTGGAGCAACGTTCCTGAAGCAGCGTTCCTGGAGCAACGTTCCTGGAGCAACGTTCCTGGAGCAACGTTCCTGGAGCAACGTTCCTGGAGCAGCGTTCCTCGAGCAGCGTTCCTGGAGCAGCATTCCTCTAGCATCTTTCCTGGAGCAGCATTTCTGGAGCAGCGCTCCTGAAGCAGCGTTCCTGGAGCAGCGTTCCTCTAGCATCTTTCCTGAAGCAGCGTTCCTGGAGCAACGTTCCTCGAGCAGCGTTCCTGAAGCAGCGTTCCTGGAGCAGCGTTCCTCTAGCATCTTTCCTGGAGCAGCATTCCTGGAGCAGCGTTCCTGAAGCAGCATTCCTGGAGCAGCGTTCCTGGAGCAGCGTTCCTCTAGCATCTTTCCTGGAGCAGCATTCCTGGAGCAGCGTTCCTGAAGCAGCATTCCTCTAGCATCTTTCCTGGAGCAGCGTTCCTGAAGCAGCGTTCGTGGAGCAGCGTTCCTGAAGCAGCGTTCCTCTAGCATCTTTCCTGAGCAGCGTTCCTGAAGCAGCGTTCGTGGAGCAGCGTTCCTGAAGCAGCGTTCCTCTAGCATCTTTCCTGGAGCAGCGTTCCTGAAGCAGCGTTCGTGGAGCAGCGTTCCTGAAGCAGCGTTCCTCTAGCATCTTTCCTGGAGCAGCGTTCCTGAAGCAGCGTTCGTGAAGCAGCGTTCCTGAAGCAGCGTTCCTCTAGCATCTTTCCTGGAGCAGCGTTCCTGAAGCAGCGTTCGTGGAGCAGCGTTCCTGAAGCAGCGTTCCTCTAGCATCTTTCCTGGAGCAGCGTTCCTGGAGCAGCTTTCCTTGAGCTGATATTTTTATATAATTGTTGTAGTTTGGTGTATAAAATCTATGTCAAACTTCTGACGATTTTGAAAGCTCGCTTTTTGGAATCTAACCTGGTGGTTTGAATTAGAAGTTTTGTGTATTTATTAACACTGATTTTACATAACTAAGAGTATTTCTTCTAGTGTTATATAGTGTTATAACTTAATGCTAACTTAGAATGTAGAATAACTTAATGCTAACTTAGAACGTGGACTAACTTGAAGGTAACTTTAAAATTACACAACTTTAAGGTGAAGATAATTATCAGTTTTAAGGTTGACGTAACTTTAAAAATTAATTTTGTGTCGAAAAGTATTCCAAAGTATTCAAAAAGTATTCCTTGGAGATGATACTATACTTGCTCAATAATTAATTTAATTGCTTGATGGAGAAATAATTCAGATAAGGAAAGC